AGTTCTTTTAGGGTTTTTTTAGCCCTCTATTTAAGCACTCTCATAAGACTTTGTAAGAGTCTTTTAGCAGCCATTGTGGCGTCATTTTTCTATAGAAAACTTGAAGAGAGGACTTGAAAGGGAGAGAGGAAAGGGTGGAGTTTGAGAGAGGGAGAAGAACCTTGGAGGGGGTTTCAAGGGAGTGTGAAGGATATTTCACACGGTTGCTCTGGCGAGCTTGGACCTTGGTACCATCAGATTCATGGTTTGTCTTGAAGGAAGTTTTGGAAAGAAGAAGATCTTGTTGGTGTCAAAGGACCCGGCTCCTCCGTCGCACCGGGGAAGGTGGAAGTGATTGTGTAAGGGCATCTCTACCTAGCTGTGGGGGCTAAAGGAGAATCACTAAAGGTTTAGTGTAATACTCGGAGGGTGCTTCCGGGGAGTGGACGTAGGTCATGGTTTGACCGAACCACTATTAATTGGTGTGTTCTTTCCTTTATTTTTTTTGCACTTTATTTCCGCATATATTTTTTATTGCGATTTATTGCGTGGATGAAATTGATTATCTATTTTTTTATTGTGAATGAAATTCGCTTACGCATAAAGTCATAAAAAGATATTTCTTTTCATTAAAGAAGTTTTTAATCATCCAATTCACCCCGCTCTTGGCGCATCTAGTAATTTCAATTGGTATTAGAGTAACTTCATATAGATCTTATTCTTTAATCAATTGGCCAAAACTGAGAGGTATGTTGACTGATTCTGATAGGGAACTCCTGAATTCTGAGCTTACTATAGATGAAGTTTTTTCAGCCATCAATCAATTTGAAGGAGGTGTTTCACCAGGGGTGGATGATATTTCTCATTAATTTTTCAAATCCTATTGGTCCATCATTAAATTTGATCTTTGTAATGCTTTAAGATTGTTATTATCTACATGTACAACGAAAACTAATTGGAAAGATGCATTTATTGTGCTCATTCCAAAGGTGGATATGCTAATGATACCTTCAAATTTTAGGATAATAAGTTTATGTAAATCTATTTATAAACTTGTGGCTAAGTTTCTTCTTAATAGATTCGTGGCTATGCTTTGTAATCTAATTTTTGAAAATCAGTCAGCATTCATTAATTGTTATTCCTTATGAGACAATGTCTTAATTGCTCAAGAAAATTTTCACAAATTCAGATTTTCAAAATCATCAAAAGGATTAGTCTCAATCAAAATATATACGGAGCAAGCATATGATAGCATGTCTTGGAAAACTTTGGAGAAGATTTTGATATACTTTGGATTTCCTTTACACTTCTCAAAATTTATTTGGAATGTGTAGGAAATCTAAAATTTTCTATTTTGATTAATGGGAAATCTTCAAAATGGATCGTTGCTCGTTGTGGATTTTGTTAAGGTTGTCCCTTATCTCCTTTTCTCTTTATTTTATGTTCCCAACTCTTATCAAATTCTTTAATTCAAGAGGAAAATGATATAGGGATTAAAATACAGCATAATGCTCCTAGGATATCTCATCTGCTTTATGCAGATGATATCTTGATTTCTTTTGAAGCTACTATGAAGTTGGTGAAGAGGATTATAGGTATTTTATTGGATTATTTTAATTGGTTGGGACAAAATATAAATTATAATAAATCTTTTTTTTTTCAATAATTTTGTGAGTAGAAGAAGGAAGAAGAATATTGCTCGGGTAATGGGATTGAAATCTGTTAAAGAATTCTACTACTTAAAAGTTAATATTGCTTTGAGAAGAATTGTGGCATCATACTTCAACTTCATGATGGAAAAAGTAATTGGAAATTTGTATACAAGGGGGAGCAAGTTTATTTCTCTCTCAGGGAGATTCACTATTGCAGGATCTACTATTTTGTCAATTCCGGTGTTTCATTGTACCCATTCCTTAGTACCAGTTGGATTTTTGGCTGAAATTGATAAAGCTTGTAGGGCTTTTATTTGGAACAAAATGGAGAATGGAAATGGATTACATTTTGTTAGTTGGGAATCTTTGTGTAAGCCATATTATTTAGGAGGACGTTGTCTTTATTCTTGTGTGAGAAAGGTGGATGCTTTAAGAGAAAAAATTGCATGGAAGTTTATGAAAGAAGAAGAAACATTTCTACACAAAACCTTAAAATTGAAATATGGTTCTTCACATTGGAATCCTGATTTGAAACATAATATGTCAATTTCTTGGAAAATCATTTTGAGTGGTACAAAGACTGTTAAACCAATTGCAAGATGGAAAATATCCAATGGAGAAAATGTGAATGTCATGGAAGATGTTTGGGTATTAGACAAAGATTTAAGTAAGTGGTCAACTTTTCTTGCTAATCTATAAAGTAATGAGCTAACAATAGATTACTTTATTAGTAATGGAGGATGGGACATGGAGAAGCTTCATCAGGTGTTTAGAGAGGAGTTTATATAGATTATTTGAAAAATACAAATTGATCTCGAGTGTCACAAGGATTAAATGGAGCTGGTTTTTCAGTATTCTGGGAAATCATTGGCGGCATTATCATTTCAATCTATGGTTTCTGATTCAAATATGAAAAATTACTGGACATGGATTAAGAAAATCAAACTTAATCCAAGGATTGAAGTTTTTTGGTGGAGATTATATCATAAAGGTAATCCAACCTTTCAATTTTTGGAATATAGAAGATTAAAGGAGGGGAGCTCATGTCCTAGAGGATGTATGAAAATTGAAGATATTGCACATCTGGAGGTGACTTGTGATAAATTGATTGAAATTTTAATTGTGAAAATTGAAGATATTGCACATCTGGCTCATACTTTATCTATTAAATTGTTGTATTTTTTCCATAAGCAACAAAGTCTTTGTACTAGATTTATTCTTTTGAAATATTGAGTTAGAAAACATAGTTTATTCTGTCATTACAAAGGGAAAGATTATTTGTGAAGCATTTGTGCTTTATTTATTGCTAAGAAGAATCTCTTATTCAACGGGGTATTGGTAAATGTAATGGGTTTTTTTTGTATGATCACTGGTTGAATGTGAATTCTATTGACATTTTTTATAGCTCACATTCCATTGCTTCCTCTAAGGTTTTTTTTTTCTTTGATGGTAACATATGGAGTGTGGATAAACTTAGGGATGTTGTTCCTACCTCTATTATTGAAATTTTGTTGAAAATTTCTATCAATGTGAACAATAAGGATTGTATAATTTAAAATCCAATTCAAGTAATTTTAATTTTAAAGATTCTTGGAATTAGTTTCATATTTCTTATCCCCCATCTAATATCTACTTTATGATCCATCATTACAATATCCCAACTTCTTACTCTATTTTGATATGGACATGTTAATATTATCTACCTCTTGACCTACTATAGAAATTTTGATGATAACTAACATATGCTTGGATGTTCTAATTTATATGCTAAGTATGTCAAGTGTAATGATGTGAATTGCAATTAATTATGGACTTACATTGCAAAACTCAAGTTCAATCAAATGTTTAGATTAATGTGGACTATGAAGGATAATATGCATGACATTATATTATCGTAGGAGTATGTTAGGGGTCCATTAATATTTACTTGTATGATTTAATTTGTTCATAAAATAAATATCTATTAATTATATATTAAATTTGATATAAAAATCCATAAGATTTCTTTTTTAAATAAATTTTATAACCTTCATTGATTGTATAAATGTTATCAAATATGGAAACTTATATAATTAGGGAATTAAAGGTAATAAGCTTATATGGTAAAACTTTTATTATTTATTTATTTTAAACTAACTTGTTTCACTTCAATTTATTAATGTATGATTAATTTTATATAAATTACATTATAGTATTATATTAATATTCAATATAACCTTAAATATTTAAAAATTTGCATGAGTTTTTATTTTACTGAATATGATATTAATTGTAAAGAAATGTAGTCAAATTTTTATTGCTTTAGATTATTTCGATTTTGTAGATAGAAAGTGATAGGTTATATGACTCATTTGAATTTCATTTAAATTTATAATGAATTTCCATACATTATCTGATATAAATATTATCGATGGTAGCTATTTTTTGCCCTATTTTAGATGTATATGAAGACTTTTTGACTTTCCCATGTGGCTAGCCAATTATATCTATTTGAATCTCATATACATTTAATATAAATGAATTCTTGATCAAATATAATCTTATTAGTTGATAAATTAATATTAGTTTAGCAGTTTTGTTTAAGGATTCGTTTGGGACAGCTTTTTTATTGCTTTCTAAAATGGAGTTTTAGTACAAATTTTTTTATTTTTGTACTAAAACTCCATTTTAGACAGTAATAAAAAAGCCGTCCCAAACGAAGCCTAAATTTGGCTTTACTTACCTTTTCCCTTTAAATACTTCTCTTCTTCATCACGTAAGGGCTGCTCTAAAAAGAAATCTCTAGCAATTCTTCTATTCTTCCTTTCTTCTTTACATTCTAAATCTTGAGAGAAGAAACTTTGGTTTTTATTCCAAAAGCTCTTTTTATTTGTGAGATCGATTTCTTGGTTGGAAAGCTTCAACACAAAAAAACCTAGTAACATCTCTTAGAGTTCTTGTATTTGCTTTCCTTCACTAAATTTTTCTTTGCTGTTCTTTTAGCTTTCACCATGTATTTATTTCTTGAAAATATTTATTTTTTGGTGAAATACTTGTTGGAAATTTTATGTTAAAGTTTTCTATATTACATCTTTTAAATCCATAAAGTTTAGCAAAACAAGTATTTTTATTTTCTTTAAGGTGGCATAGAATTACATTTCTAATCTAATTAATTTTATTTGATTTGAAGAGTTTTTTTTTTTTTGAAAAGTGCATCAAATTGCAATAGAAACAAACCAAGAACTAATTACAAGTAGCAAACGGATCACATTCCTTCTTGAGTAACTTTAACAATAAGGAAGGAATGCAATCAAATGAAAAACTATCAAAAAAGAAACTCTTCTCCAATGCCATAGTAGCACAACAATTAGCTACTTTATTACATCCTCTTCAAGCATGGAGGAAAACAACTTTATTGAAATAATTAAGGAAGAAGAAATCCTTAGTCGGCCATCTATCCTCCTGCCACTTGTTCTTCTTTAGAGAGTCTTGTATGAACTTGATAACATTAGCATTATCTCTCTCTATGATCATCCCTTTATACTCCAACATCCAGCTTCTCAAAAATTCCTTCACCGAGAAAACTGCTTCAAGCTTTAATTGAGCAATATCCCAATGAATTCCATTCTTCCCAAATGCACTTATAAACCTGCCTTTGTGGTCTCTTAAGACACCACCAACTCCAGCCAAATTGGAACTAAGCAAAGAAGCATCTATATTAATCTTGATCCAATCTTTCGGTGGAGGGCACCAAGTACTTTTAGACTCCCGAAGGAGATTAGTACCCCAGTTAGTAAGATATTGACCAGAATTTGAGATGGCTAAAAACAAAGCATTTGAGGAAACTATAGAGCTTGGCAATGCAGTCTTACCGTGTTTGACAGCATTCCGATTCTTCCAAGAGTGATATATTATATTGCAATATATCTGTACAATTCCAGAATTATTTTGTGCTATCTGTTTTAACCCACGTAAACAACAATTAAGAGAGCTAAAAATGGGAATAGAGATACCCCATTCATTCATCCTCACAATGACATCAGTCATGTATTTACAATGTACCATTATATGTTCATATGATTCACTTACTTGGCATCCTCTAGGACAAAGATCATCCACTGAAATCCTGCGGTTCTTCAAAAACAGAATGGTTGGAATCGCTTCCTTCCCCAATCTCCACAAGAAAATCTCCACCTTTTTCTTGAGTTTTAACTTCTGTAACCAGTTGAAATACTCAACATCCTCCATGGTATACTTGTTAGATAACACTTGCTCATAAACCAAAGCTGAAACAGTTTTTCCCTAGCACTTCTTTATAAATTCCAGTTGATCCTCCTCCTCAAATTCAATATGGATTTGGCTAATCAAGAATACCAGATCAGGAGGGAAGGCCCTTTGTAGCTTGATATAATCCCACTCTCCATTATTAAGCAAAATCTGCTGTATGTACATACCATCCAGAAAATTGCAGTCAACAAAAGTAGGCCACTGGTTGATACATCTATCCAGCAACCATGTATCAATTAAAATATTAATTCCGTCACCCTTACCCACTCTCCAACAAACAGCCATTTTCAAAAATTTGCCACCATCCACCAGAATTTTCCAAGCTGTTGAATTAATCTTCCTTTGGGCTCCATTCATGACATCACAACCATATCTAGCTGCCATAGCACGGTGGAACAAAGATTGCGGTTTCTGGATAAAATTCCAAGACAGTTTGGATCTTAACGATCCAACTCTCAAAAGGGGAGAATGTAAACCCAGCCTACCCCAACATCTTGGTTTACATAAATCATCCCAAGCAACATAATGCATACCAATGGTCCCATCATTCTTATGCCAAATAAAACTTCTATAAAGTTTCTCCAACTCATGTAAAACCCTCTTGGGTACTATAGAATGAGTGATTAGAAAATTGGGCATAGAAAGCAAAGAGATATCAATGAGAATCAGCTTACCTCCCAAAGATAGGGATTTCTTACTCCAACCATTGCGTTTATCCATAACATTACTCATAATTTCATGAAAATCAGCCATTCTAAGTCTATGAAGTGACATCTTCACTCCCAAATACTTCATCTCTTTGACAACTTTGAAACCAAGAACCTTGGCTATTCTTTTCTTCATGGAGTACCTAACCACCTTGCCAAATATCATCTGAGATTTGCTCACATTCACTCTTTGTACAGTCCACTTACAAAAAAGCTCCACAATAGTCTTCAAATCTTTAGCTAAGTCCACAGATGCATGAGAAAATATTAATACATCATCTGCATAGAGGAGATGTGTAATCAAAGGTCCTCTGGGAGAAATTTGTATGCCAAGCTTCTGTCGCCTTTGCACAAGCGAATTGGACAAGAGTTGAGAACATAATATGAAAAGGTACGGTGAAAGTGGACATCCCTGGTGGAATACACTTTAAACATCAATCCAATTAGAATTCCTCCCAATGATGATAATAGAGAATCTCACATCTACAATACATTCCATAAGAAGTTTAAAAAATCAGTAGGAAAACCATACCAATCCAGGGTGTGCTGAAGAGATGCCCATCCCATACTATCATATGCTTGCTCCATATCGAGTTTGATAGCCATTAACCCCTTCTTATTTTTAGAAATCCTGAATTTGTGAAAGATCACCTGAGCCAAAAGGCAATGCTCCGTAATAGATCTTCCATGGATGAATGCCACTTGTTCCTCTGAAATAATCTTGTAGATAACCTTCTTCAATCTATTAACTAACATGGTAGCCACAATTTTATAATTAGTTTGGCAAAGGCTAATAGGCCTAAAATTAGGAGTCATAGGATTCTTGATCATAGAGATCAAGACAATCAATGTTTTTTTCCACTCCCTATGCATATAGCGGGTTTTAAAAAAGCAATTAACTGCATTCCAAAGAGTCTCCCACACAATACTCCAATAGCTATTGTAAAAAGAAGAGGTGACTCCATCCAAACCTTGGGACTTGTTGTTATCTTGATGAAAAACCAAATTCTGCAGCTCAATAACTGAAAACTCTGCATTGAGCACATCCATTTCATCAACTGCAATTTTCTGGTTTTTAAAAATTGTAGGCCAATCCGTCACTTTACACACCCTGTGCTTCCATTTCTTATCAAAAAAATTTATGAATACCTACTCTATTTTCTCATCCTCATCATACACATTGTTAAGCTCATCTTTAATTTGAATGATCCTATTCCCATTCTCCTAGCCGAGGCATAGTTATGAAATAATTTGGAATTTGTATCACCTTCCTCATGCCACCTAGCCTTTTCCCTTTGATTCTACCATGTAGAAAGCCTCTTCAAGGTAACATTAAGTTCATGGACTTTGTTTCTAAGCATAAAAAGATCATCAACCGACCAATTGACACCCAAATCTTCCTTGTTCTAAAGCTCAAGGATCTCATTTTCAATTTCTCCTTTAACACATTCAAATCTTTACACTTATTTTTATTCCAAAAAAATAAAGATTTTAATGTGCGGCTAAGCTTCCTTTGCATGATCATATACTCATCTCTGAAATCATTCTTCCTCCAAGAGTGTTAAACAATACTCTTGGCCACAGGGTAGGACCTCCATGTATCCTCAAATCTAATAGTCTTTGACTTGAACCGCACCTTTTCATCCAACATAACAACTATAGTTCAATGATTAGATGCCAATCTCGCAAGATGTTTGGTAACTGCAAAAGGAATTTTCTGAATAGCAACAGAATTAAACATACATCTGTCCAGCCTTTCCCAGATCCGAGAAGCACCCTCCTTGTTGTTACACCAAGTAAACCATGGCCCCACACATCCAACATCATGTAAATCAGAATTCATCATGAATACCTTCATCTCCCTAGGTCCTTTAGAGAACAAGAACCTCTTACCTCCTCTCTTCTCCTCCTTGTCAAAGATACAATTGAAGTCTCCTCCTATAATAGATGAAATATCATTCTCCAAACTCTTCTCTAATTGACTTCAAAGGCCTCCCCTCTCCTTGCAACATCTACTACCATAAACAATAGCAATTCTCCAAGTTCCCAAGATGGGAATTAAAAGATTGACAATGACAACCTGTGAAGTAGCTACCATAACATCAAAGGTCACTAGCTTCATATTCCAAAGCACCAAAGTACCACCAGCTGTACCAACATCAGGGTAATGAAAAAACTCCCAATCATTCCCTAAAAGATAATCAACCTCCCTTCTATTAATACTATACAACTTCGTCTCCATAAGCCCAACAAAGAACACATCCTGATCTCTAACAATCTCCTTCAAATACAAGGAAGCCTCCCTCTTCCTGGCTCCCCTGCAATTCCAAAATAAGATGCAAGACATTAACCAGGTATCGAAGATCTCTCCCCACTGCTGGAGTTCAATCTCACATCCTTCCTCTTCTTTTTATAGTCAGGCTCAATCGGCCCCAAAGATCTCAATTTCTTGGCTAGTTTAATCTTGGCAACACCACTATGATAACCCAAACCAATATGGTTATCATCAAGTTCAGATATATCCAAACTTATGTCCAGGGCTTTGTCAAATTCACCATGCATCTCAATACCTTCCTCAACATCTGTATCAACCAATACGGAAAAATGATTGGCTGAATGAATATCAACCATCTCAACACCAGTTATCTCCAGATTAACAGAACTTTTTTCTGGATCCACATTTGTTTCTTTAACAACTTTAGCATCATCTATCCTTGTCTTGACTATCTCCACCTGATCTACATCTGCTTCTTAACATCTTTACCATCCTCCATCCTCATCTTGACTAACTCCACCTGGTTGTTGTTAATAACTCTGCTTTCAGTAGCAAGATCCCTTTTAGAATTATTTCCATAATTCTTTACACCTCTTCTAGTAGCAAGATCCCTTTTAAATCTTCTGTTTTTGAAATGGACATGAATCCATGGACCATATTCAGCACTGATCATAGAAGGATTACTGTCCAAAGAAGCCTTCATCCCTTCCCCTGTAAATGTATCCATCTTCTTTCTTGTTTGATCCTGTATGCCAAGAGTTACATTATCTGGACATATCTTTGTATCATGACCCACTTTACCACATTGGTAGAAAAGAAGATCAATTTTCTCATACTCCACCCTTTGGAAAAACCTCTCAGCTGAACCTTCAACCCAAACACCATTCGGCTGCTTCTTCTCCAAGTCAATCCTCACACAAACAAGGACAAATTCACGTTTACTCCAGCGAAAGGTATTGCCATCTAAGTACATTGGCGAACCAAATCAAGAAGCTATTCTTGCTATACTATCTTCATCCCAGCAGTACAGAGGTAAGCACGATAGTCTTATCAAAACAGGAGCAGAGATTCCCTTAAAGCAATTTGGATCAAACATTGGAGTCAATCTATCCATACCAACAATGAACCCATTCACATACCATGGACCTCCTTTCAGTATTTCATCTACCACCTCACTCATCTTGAATGAACATAAAATCTAGTTCATTCCAATCGATGTCAAGTGAAAACCTCCATATTTGCTCCACTGCCTTCTAAATTCTAAACTACAGACCAAGAATGACACGTTATTACCCATGAATTTAATCACAATAGAATTCTTCAACATTCTTGAATTCTCTGACTCCCTCTCTGCATTCAATCTGACCGCAACACCATCATCAGAAAATTCAACCTGGTCTCTGTTGAACGAAATTTTGATAGGCTTCAAAATCGACCACGCATCATCAACTTCACCAACACCCTTCTTTCCATAACTATCATTCTTTTTGTTCGCTAGGCTTTCACAACTAGTCGAGTCCTTCACATGGATCATGGAATGATCCATCAAATCAATATTCTTCTAACCTTCCACTGAATTCAGATCATTACCAATAATACGCCCTCCGTGCGTATCAAGAACACCAGAAAAATTCTTCACCCTCAAACTTACTTTATCCGAAGCTGAATAATCCAGATTAACCAAACCTGCATTACACTGGATCTCCACATTCTTCTGAACTGCCACATCATCCATTAAAACCTTCTTCCCCTTGCCTTCAACAATATCTTGACGTCTCATAAGTCTAACTCCTTCTTTAATCATGATACCATTCGATCCTCTACCATTGGCCCGTAGAGGGCCAGATGGTCAAAGAGCCATCATACGCGCCGGTTATACACCACCGGCGATCATCCAGCGTGATCCCTTCGAACACAGATTACCCGCGCAAAATCGAATTTGAAATGACAAGAACTTTCTCTCTCTAGAATTTGAACCATACGTTCTCTCTCCAGAAAATTGTTTTATTTAAAAATCCCTATTTGATTTGAAGAGTTAAAGTTTAAATCAGAAAGAATATATTTTTATTTAAAATACTTTTCCTATTTTAAACAAAATATAAATCTATCTTATAGTGAGAAAATTTAAAATTTCATTTGCAAGTAGTGAGGAGATTAAAATTAATTTGTAAGAACTCATCAAATAGTATTTTTTATTTTCTTGATCTAAGACGTTTAGCTTAGTGAAGTTTTAATTGTAATTAGATTAGCTTGTACTCGCCCGTGTAGGAGAGTACTTAGGTTATGAAGATCTTCTTTGGTTTAAAGAAGCATGGCTTGCAAAACAAACCTGGGATTAGTGAATTCTAGCCTAAAAGTTGGCTAGCATAGATGTTGGTCGAATTGGAATATGAGCCAATCCCCATAAAAATTTTGCACCTCTTATTTTCATTTAATGTATTTATTTTTTTGTGTCATTTTCATAAAAATTATGTGATTTCTTATTCTTTTCAAAATAGCTTTAAAATTATTTTAATTTCCTTCTTTTAATAATAATTTTAAAAATCACAATTCACCCTCCCTCTGTGGGTGCTATATTCATCCAACAATTGGTATCAGAGCCTTGGCTCTTTTTATTTTGGATTAACATCCTATAGTAGATCCATTTATAAACTATGGCACAAGGTTTTCCTAAGGGTTCACTTCCCGAAGGACAATCCACTCATCCTCATCCATTATTAGATAATATTCCTTTTGATTATTGAAAAAATAAAATTAGTACATTTTTAAGAGGGAAAGACTCTCGTATGTGGCACATGCTTACACACCAATATCATACACCAACTAAGGAAATTAATGGACCCAATATTTTAGAGTTTTGTGAAGCTCCCACTAGAGAGAGAAAATTTCAAATTCATCACTCTTGTTTTTCATCCTCCTTTTTTACAGGAGACAAGGATATGGTGGCGGATGACCGTTGTCCATCATTAGACTCCATAATGAAGGGTAACTCTAATGGCTGATCACTGGTTCTGAAAAAATTGTAACTGATATATCAAATGGAGGTTTTACTATGGAAGTAGATGAAGCACAAAGAAGAAGATCAAAAGGTATGTTAGTGATAAACTAAAATCTGACAATATTTTAATAAGATCACTCATGTTGAAGGAAAGGGAAAGGATGCTTCTTTTGATTTTGAAATCAAAACACCTCTTATTTTGAAAATGACTAGACTATCTCCATCGAAGGTTATTGACACTGAGGCTTCATTGTAAGGGATGAATATTTTTGTTCATAGATTCAGAAATTCAAATGCAATCCCTGGAAGCAGCATGATAAATATAAATTCCCTGAGTTCTATGAACAAAAATGTTATTCCAAATGCTGACAAGCATTCTGAGATTTTGATGGTGAAGTCATCTTTGTTTAAAGAAAATACAACAATTCAAGTGGATGATCAAATGACTGTGAAGAATATTAAGAAGATCATTCCTGAAAGAGAAGATGTGTTGATGGAAGACATGAAGGAAGTGAAACAAATTAAGGACTCTAAAATAAAAAAATGCTAATGTACTTGGTAACTCTTCGGAATGAAAGGTTTTGGAAGAGAATTACCTACTCATATTATAGCCTGGAAACCTAGGCGCCAATGGGCTCAATTTGACCAACTTCACTTTTCTACTCCTTTGGAATTGGCTGGTTTTTGTGTTCTTTTAAAATGGCTAAAGCTCTAGAAACTGTCCTCTCAGAAGGCCCGTGGTTTGTGAATGGCCACATTATTAGCATGGATCAATGG